AATTAATCAATTACGGAAATTCCGTCTTGATATCGGGTTGCCTTCTCAAGCAACGGCTGAATCTAATTTGCCATACTCATTCCGGTTATCGTTTTTGACGCAAATGTTCGTACATTAGAAAGATACCCTCTACTGGAAATAGTATCAAATGCGCTTATAGAGGCCATTTTCTAAGTGGGTAACACCGTGGCTTGTGATTAATGTCTGAAAAATGTTGACTATTACTTTATGTATTCAAAAAGGGTGTGATCTGCACGCAACCCCGAATCTTACCAAGCTGAAAGAAGTCGCACTACAAAACCTGTGCTTGAGGTATCCTTGATTATGGAGTGTAACAATGTTACTAAAATCGTGATTCGAAAACGGATGCAGAGTGAGTGTGTATTAGGTCGGAGCTCACAGAACCCGTCAAACCGTGCACGGATCTGCGTCTCACCGCAAGCACACTTGCGATCCCCAAGGCTAATCGATTCCATATTGGATGAGTAGGACAAATCCGACAGCTGTCGACCGATCGATCTGTCGGACTGTCAAGGACGCGATCTAATTGGGCTCGGCCCGTAGGCAATAAACTGTCTACAGATAGCACAGCTAAGTGCTACCGAGCTCGTCTCCAGGTCGCGGATAGAAGAAAGGCCACCTTGGTGGTTATCCGTGAATAGGTGTGTCTACCTCATTGAATCATCGGTCGCGGACGATCAGCGGCGATGCTAGAGAACGTGATGGGGTTTTCGGCTGGCAACCGATATCCCGTTCAAATGCCATAAGTGTCCGCTGACAGCATCGTGACGTGCGCGAATGAGGCCCGCCACCAAATAAGGCCATTGCTGTTTGCCTACTCTTAGGAGTAGGATAAACTGAGGAATGCTACCTCACGGACACATTGGGAATCCTGGACTGGCGCAAAGCCATCCGAAAGGCATATGAACTGTTCGGACGGTCACCGGCTACAACAATTCTACCCTGTTACCCCGCAGGTCGCACTTGGTTGTACAAGGGTTAGAGGTGCACCCTTAAACAAAAGCCGATCGACGCTGGGGACGTCACTTAGTACCTCATTCCCAAGTTTCTTCATGGATCGTCTTACAATGGTGCGTCAGGTCCATCCTACGGCTTTCCCGGGAAGCGACGCGCCCTGCACTCTCCAAGTGGCTGGGGGGACAAATGAGCAAGCTGGGAGCCTAGACCATCTATGCTCCAGATCCAGCGTCCATGTAGCCTGCTGGAATGTTAGAACATTGATAAACACAGAAAGCAAGTGTATCATGATGCGATCACTACACGACTACAAGGTAGACATCTGTTGTCTGTCCGAAATCCGACTACCTAACTGTGACACAAAACTAATCAACGTACCACATCGCAACGCAACCTACCGTTTATACCACAGCGGCCCAACTGACAACTCCGGTTTGCACAGGGTAGCAATCGCCGTGAGCGGCCAGGCCAACAATGCCGTGATCTCCTGGGATCCAATCTCTTCTAGGATTGCCACAGCGAGCTTCAGGGGAAAGCCGTTTGACCTGACTGTCATCACTGTATATGCTCCAACGTTACATGTGGAAGAGCCCATCAAAGACCACTTCTACAACCAAGTTCAAGACGCAATGAACCGCAGCCCAAGGCTCGACATCCTCGTTATCGCACGAGACTGGAATGCACGCGCTGGTCCATCAGACGAGCATACTCNTGTTCTGGGGAAGTTCGGTCTTGGTCAACGTTGCGAAAATGGCGAACGCCTAGTCACATTTGCTGACATTAACCGGCTGGTTATGGCCAACATTCGTCTTCAGCACCCCAGAAGACACCTGCTCACGTGGTACTCAAATGATGGTCGAACGGCACACCAGATTGATTATATTTTGGTACGTGCTCGCTGGGCCTCTTCGGTAGAAGACTGCCGTTCCTATCACGGCGCAGAAACGGTACAGACTATACCCTTGTACGCGCCCGCTTCAAAATCCACCTGACTACTCACCGGAAGACTCGTCTCTCGGGCAAATACAACTTCGCACTCTTGGAACAACCTGAGAGAAGGCAGGCGCTGCTGGAGGCAACCACTTCCAATATAGCCGAAACTTTCTTTGATGACTCAACTGTCGACGCACAGTGCTCTACACTGAAAACGTCTATCAGAGAAGCGGCGCTGGGACAGTTAGGTGAGATTCTTCGCCACAAGAGAGACTGGATCTCCGAGATTACACTGCAGTTGTCCACAAAGGCAAGAGATGCACGGCTGATCAATTCTCCTGAATTTTCTATTCTCCGTCGCCAAGCCACACGCCCCATCAAGAGTAACCGTAAACAGTACTGGAAGGCGATTGCAGACAGCATGGAGGTTGCAACCGTTGCAGCGGACTTTGAAAAGCTATTCTGTCTAATTCGTGTCGCAGCAGGAAAGAGGACGACATCGGAACCACTGCTGCGTAGCACCACAGGCCAACTTATTCAGGGAACCGAGCAAAAAATGCAAAGGTGGGTTAAACACTTTGACGGGCCGCTCAACCGACCATCAAACCAAGCTGGCTCTCTACAGATGTCAAGCAGTCCGGGGACTTACGACATCAATTGTGACCCACCAAGTACGACAGAAAGCATCAATTTAGTCATTTCTGTGAAAAACAGGAAAGCCCCTGGAGAAGACGGGATACCACCGAGTTATTCAAAGCTTGCTTACCAACTCTGACCGATCCACTGCATTCTCTTTTCCATACCATTTGGGAAAGAGAAGTTTTTCCAAAAGACTTTAATTTTAGTCCCGATCCCCAAATGGGGTGACAGATCTAGATGCGAAAATTACAGGGGTATTGGCCTCATTGATATTGTGGCCAAATGTTTTGCAGCGATACTGCTTAATCGCTTCGCAGTCGTCAGAGATACCCACACTCGCCCGAACCAAGGGGGTTTCGCTGCGGAAGAGGCTGTGTTGAACAAAGTTTCGCTCTCCGCAGAATTCTGGAACACCGCTACAAGTTCCAATAGCCTACCAAAGCATGTTTCATTGACTTCCACTCTGCATTTGACTCTGTCGATAGAGAATCCTTGGGGTGCATATTGAGGTCTGATGGGATGCCTGAGAAGTTCATCAGGCTTTTAAAGTCATACTACTCAGGAATCCGGGCACGCGTCCGTACGTATGGAGAAGAATTGGCTGAGTTTAACCATAAGCTCTGGAGTTAGGCAAGTTTGTTCCCTATCGCCGGTGTTATTCAATTACACCGTAGATTAAATAATGCAACAAGCACTCATCGACTACCCTGGAGTGCAGCTTGGCCCAGTTACATGGATTGCGGACCTCGCTTTTACGGATGATGTCGTTGTACTTGGAGACAGCATGGACAACCTCCAGCCTATTGTCAGTTGTATAAATCAGTTTTCCCAGTCCATCGAGCTAGAGATCAACATATCGAAAAAGAAGACATTTTCGACCGAAACTTCTACTATGACACAACCCCTCTCGATTAACGGGGAGCTTGTCGAATCAACCGAAGTATCTTGACCCTACGATAAGACCAAACGGCCAGGCTAAGGATGAACTCCAACTCCGTGTAGATGGAGCTAGAAGAGCCCTCCTATAACTCCTCAAACCGTGGTGGAATCGATGCGAAATAAGCCTAAACACTAAGCTTCGGGTTTATCAGACTTCCATTCGCCCCATCCTCGCTTATGGTTCTAAAACATGGCCCCTAACAGTACAAGATACAAAGAAGCTCGAAGTTTTTGATCATTGGTGCTTACGCCGCATCTTGTAAGTATATTGGAGAGATCGGATTTCCAATGATGAGGTTCGACGGCGCTGCTTGAACATTGAAAAGCTTTCAAAAATGCTATGACGCCAGCGCCTTCAGTGGTTTGGCCATGTGCTCTGAAGGCCGGACACTCAACTCTCGCGACAGGCTGTAGCCCCCGCACCGTGCCGTGGATGGTGTTGCCGACTCGGGGGTCAACTTAAGACCTGGAGTAGTACGATCAAGGCAGATTTGGAATTACTGGGTCTTCAATCCGTATATGGAATTCGCAACTGGAACCAGAACTGTGTTTCTCACTGCGTCAGCCTTGCTACCGATCGTCATGCATGGGCCGCCATCATTAGAGACATCCAGGAAGCCGACTTATCCTCCCGCAGGAGTTAGTCGATCAAAAGTAAAAGTAAAGTAGATTTAATCGGTGCATCACCGATTCGTTCCCGTACGTCCAGCTTACCCACTTATATTTACTTATCGCATCATGATCGCGGAATACACTCCAACCGTTGCTCTCCAGTCTTGTTCTCTATCTCTCCCATATTCTTGTGGGGGCTAATACAGAGGTGCTCGTGTCGGTCTCACGTCTAGGCAGAACATACCAGTATGGCAGTTTCAGTGCGGAGTGACTAGTGCATCCGGTATTAGACTCGCATAGGCGGAGAAAGTCCGCGGGAGTGGAATACTTTTTTCACAGTCTATTTTTATGAAGTAAAAGATGATTGGATCAAACTTCGTGTTCCGGCCTTTCACTTGGTTTCTATCTGAATTCCCCAAAAGCTGTAATGACCGTGCATACGCGAGCGAAACGAATGTACAAAAATAAACCTGGGCAATGCGGTACTTTTGTCGCTGGATGTGCCCTAGAAGTCGTTCAGTTTCAACGATCCAAAGCGTTGTGTTCAAATAGCAACTTGTTTCTTTTTTCATTCCCTCCGTTGACTCGTTCGCTCATTTACTCACTCACACACGTGCTCAATTTCAGTCAACCGCTCGTGCATTCTCTGGCTGCCGATGTCGAAATGTGCTTCGAATTATGATATTGAGGGACCATTATAGCTTGCTGGTATCTTTTATAAATCTGTAGCACGTTCAATTTCCATTTTCATACCTGATGAAGTATCAGTACTTTTTGTTGAAGAACTTCTATTCTGTCGTTATTTCATACACGCTAGTTCAACCCCATCTAATGAAGTGTACTACTGTGCTTATGAACACTGATGATGGAATGCGGTTGCCTCGTAAGCTAACAGTGATAGCACATATGATGTGCATTTGGTTCTATGATTTTTTGTTCATATTTGCACATTCTTCGGATCATTCAAAAGTACGCAGTATTCTGTGCACATTGCTACTGCATTTCAAGCATGATATCCACGTTTACTCATACGTGAACAATTCTGGTTCTGTATACTGTGTTTTGTTTCCCCACTTGTCCCGTTCTTAGTCCACCCCTCCACCTGAATTCCGTTTTAAGCACTTCTTTCTTCTGTCAAATTCACACACATCTTCGGGGTGTTTGTTTCGATTTTTCCAGTTACACGTGGACAATGATATTGGTGTTTTCATGTCTGACCGCTATTCGTACTACGCTGCGGAATTTCTCAAAACCGTCGAACCGTATAGCGAAAAGACACTGGATCAGTTTGTGAGTTTTCATGCTCCTCGTTATTCGTTATTTGACTAAATTGCATCGATTTGATGCGATGATGAAAAACAATAAATAATCGTCTATCAGACGTCGTGCTCTGTGTTTCACTTAAATTTCTCAAAAGAATTCAACTCTGTTTAACTAACTCTGACAAGAAGTAAAGTCGATGTTCACAATCTTTTTACATGATAGTCCCCGAAATGTTGTATAGTTCCACTCAGAGTGATGCCTCTAGTATCGATCTATTTCTATTTGTAGGTTAGGGTTGCGATCTTGTTTCGGACCACACGTTATGATACCATATGCAAGTTCCCTAATCTCGGGTTGTTCCAGAACTCAAAGATCGATCAAATGCACTGGTGTACGACAAAGTGTGAACCAGCGGTGGTAATTGCAGTCTTTTTTATCCGATAAGATGTACCTGATGTCTGTAAAAACCAGGTTAATGTGAGGTAATGCATGGGGTAAGATAGTGGTCTGATTCAATCAGGAATACCCTCCGAAACTTCGTGCAGAGCGTTTCGAAGTTTGATTTGCGTAGCTTTTATCCCGCAAAGTCCTGGGACTAGCTGGCCATTTCACGCGGTCTGGACTAAATGATCTATTTGTGTAGTTTTTCGAAGGCTCAGTTTTACTATTGAAGTTGATTCAACTTCCCCTCACTATTTAAATGATTAACTAAGTAAATGAGTACAACATGTTCATTTACAGAAATAAAACAGATTGGATGATTCAACCATGAACGTCCTTATCGGGATTAAGGTTATATCTACGCCTTCTGTAAGATGTATGTGTCATAATAATTTGTCGTCAAATTTCTTGTACACCGGATCAGTTTTCGTTCCGGAATTATTCCATCACTCTTTGAGTGTTTCCCCTATTTTCATCCATTCACACTCACAGCTTGCCGTCTGTCCCAGATCTCAATGCCATTCAACCGTAAAAGTTCGCACTGAATTACTCCAACGTCCAGTTGAAACGGTCCCGGTGACTGATTTCTTTGGCAGTGTGCGTTACATTGAAGCTGGTCCGACAGATATCGGTCCGATTGCCAATTACACTGTCGTAGAATCGGTCAAAGAATCGTATTCACGGTGAGAAATTGTTCATTCGTATCTGCATTGATTAGATTCACAGGTGACTGCGTGAAGTCCGCCTGATCTTACTGTCGTGTTCACTGCTGTTACGAACAAGTGTAACTTTTATGAAACAAGATTCTGCTGTGTGCAGTATCAATTAATATGTGAATTAACTGTGCGAAACGGAAATCTAAGTCATATGTGTACTCATACCTGGTGTAATTCGTTCGATCATTTCCTGTTCTCAGCTGGTCATTATTCTTTGCTCAACTGTCTACCTAGCAAGAATGCAGGAAGTCGTCACATGTTTCAGTTAATGCCACACTCAGCCTGACAGGAGCGAGTGTTGTTCGCTGCCATAGTGTGTGTGTGTATGTGTGATCAACTCTCCATCGATTTGTCAGCGCTTATCTGGTACTACGTGTCCACGGGCTCACGTGTTTAGACATGTTTCGCAAGTGAGGTAATAAGGTGTTTGTGTGGAGAGGGGGTATTTACCTATAAGTGTTTTGGATTGACTTCTGACTTCTGAAAGCTTTGTAATTTTGCACGATCATACTATTTCTGCGGACCCTTGTCTTTTTCCATCTTTCCCTCTCACTTGGAAATCATTTTTAAACAATTGGTCGAGCTTCGAGGGTTTGAGGAAGAATTTTAAACGAAAAGCGGAGTTCACCAGATTTTTAATGGTACCTCAAATAAATGCATGCAGTCAAGGGCTGCAGGATGTGTATGTGTGTGTTGCAGGAGGAGGAGGAAGACAGTGTTCTGTAGATCAACGAAAAGGGTACACAAAACACTGTCCCAGAGAACTGGTTCTCACAGTTTAGATAAATTTTTATTCGTCAAAATCTAGACCCAGGGCGAATCGAAACTAGACGGTCGCACGGCGGCCAATCGTTTGCACCTTTCGGGGAATCAGTTCAGTTCAGTTCAGTTCTTACAGAATGTTGATTAGAATGTTGGGAACAGATTTAAGCGGAAGGTAGCACATTTTCATAGACTGAAGTTACAAGAATAATGAGTAGATGCAGGAGCGCCACTGTTTGCGACACCCAGCCATATCGCTCAGTGTCTCTAACCACTGGTGACCATGATCTCTGGGTCCCCAGCCAGGGAGTGACGCGCAGAACACGAACCTCCAAGCCCAGACAAATAAAACACGAGTTCGGTAATCTACGTCTATTGAGGCATAGATAAATAAACAGTATATATAACATACCTCAAGCTGTGAGCAATTCTACTCGAAAATCGGGCAATGTAAAACAAAATGGAACGGGATATGAAGTCAAATTACTCGTTGGGGACCGTCAGACCAAAGAGGGAAGAAAATCAAAGGAAACCAATTATTTAAAGGGTGTAAACTGACCAATCACTGTCAATCGGTTCATGCACGCGGTTGTCTATCGGTGATGTGTGTACAAACGCGTCTTAATAGACACGGAATACACGATATGCAATAGAGCGACATGAAACGACTCCAATGAGAGTGTAAGAGGAAACGGACAGGTCTCTATAAACAATTCGACATAAGGACCGATGCGAAATGAATAATAATCAATTAGATCGAAAGAGGGGAACAGGTCACAAATACAAACGTGAAACGGATAGATGTGCTGACACCAAAACGTATCATGCTTTTCGTAGATAAAATGTTTCCTCAAGGATAGGGGTAGAGGAGCAAGGAATGGGATAGGAGTGATGCTCGAATGCTGAAAGTTGCGGGGATATGGGTTGTATCATGTCATATTCTATATGGATAACGTCACAATACTGACAGTTGTGGGTGAACAGATTTCAACGTGCTTATTGAAGTGTATCAGATGTGCCGAGGTCAAGTGGTTTGCTAAGGAGTGAGTGTGCAGTGGTCTAGGGGGTGATGAGCAACAGGTGATCTATAAACAACAGATATGTTCAATAGAACGCGTGACAAGAGTCAAACGGAGGGAGGGTAATAGCACAAAACTTAGTGAATGTTGAATAGACTGGCGTGGTGAAATTTTCCAAACTGGTTGATCTTTACAAGAATGTTTCGCGTAATTTTATTATCCTGGTTTAATATTGGTAATTTTGTATGCTTCTCCTGGATTGACGATTTTTTTTATATACCACATGTTGAGGCCATCTACTCGGTCATTCATGCGTTGATATTCGAAAATACGTCATGCATTTTTGGTTTGGCTTGTTTTGTTCTAACTGTGATCTCATACATTCCTTTTACTGAAGGCTGTTTTGTGTAACAGTGAAAGTAGCGTATTGAGGGACAAACCATTCCATTTGCTGATGCTGACGGTGGTGGCGCAGTGATTTGGTTACTGACATTAGCTTGCTTTGGACCGCACAGTCCGAGGTTCGCGTCCTACAACCGCCACAACCTCCAACTTTGTTGTTAGGCAGCTTTACTGCTGTCCGGTTCAACATCATGCATAACTTATTGGGTTCGCCGCTCCAAGTTCCGAAGCTTGGATTGTCTGTTTCTATTACTGAACAGCAGGCTATCGTGGATATATGGGGCCCACCCCGTTTGTGTAATAAACAAGCTGTTCAAAACCGTCTCTGTGTCTTGGAGGCGCGTCTATCCTTCAGGTTCTGTCTGCAGATCCCATTAGATTTGTGCGATAGACCGCTCTGCTGTCGGTTAAATCATTATCGGCGGATAATTATTTTGAGCATTTTGTAGCTTAAAACGTAGGCCGCTACCTCACTATGACTATTACACACACGGGATGGTCATGAAGTGGGGCCCACACTAGTTCATGTTATACTTCAGCACCCATCAGTTAAACCGCATTGTATTCTTTTTCGAAGGAAGATATTTAGCACAATGACACTTAAAAGAAAGCAAAATGTTAAACTGGAATGTCGGGTTGTATTTTCTCTGATGTGTATGACCGCGTCGACAGTTGATTCATTGATTGTCTGTTTTGCCCTGAGTACAAACCTGTTTTTGGTTTCTTTCCCGTCCCAGGTTATCGCCGAAACCGAAGGCCAATACTGAAGGTCTAAACTATGTGCCGCCCACATCATTTTGACCACACCCATCGCGTGACCTGAATTCCTGTATCTGGATTGTGATCTGTCTATGTGCTCAGTCCAATGACCAGTCTTTTATCTCAAAACGAACACAGCCGTGCATATCCTCACGCGCTAGCCGCGAATGATCTACATTTTAACTGCAAATGTTTTACTGCACAGTTTCCACTAACTATTCCTCGAACGCACTTGGTGCCCTAATCGAATATATTTTCTTAGTTTTATCTGATACTGTTTTTTATTAGTTTCGTCTTTTACTAGGAATCTAAGTAAAGTAAACTTTCAATCGGCTTCTGCATTGTTTCGTTTCCGTATGGGACGATGATCGACCATACACCTTACGTCCGGTAACAGTGTAGTGATAAAAGGATCCAAAATAAAGGAAATAAGAAAACACGAAACGTATGTCGGGAGAGAGCATCCTGTGAACACGAAAAGGGACAAGCGGAACAAAAAAGCTGCCGAGTATCACCTTTCATTACACCTTTTTTAAGGAACAATCTAGAACGAACAATAACGGCTTTTCTTCCAACTTTGGGATTAAAACTTCGAATCATTCAACCAGTCAAAGTTTCATAGCGTTAAAAGAATTTGCCTGTAGGTGCGGGTGAATTTTATTGATCTTGCTTTTAGACCAGTTTACATTAATCAGTCCATTGGGATCAAGAGCGATCTGCGATTGCGTACTACTCGGTCCCAAAACCACGTGTTAAAATTCTCAAACTAACATGGCCGTTTGTTGTTAACCCGATTGCGTAACAAGTGTACTGCTGGTGTTTGAACACCAATGTCTACATCGCATTGCAGAAGTCTAGTGGGGAAACCGGACAAGCTATGCTGAGATTAGGCGCAGAGTTGTAGATAATCATGGTCTCCCAGTGGAACAAGTGTTTGACATCCGTAGACCACGTTACTGTGTTACGCATGCCAATAACAAGATTGTAATGGCGCGTGGTGTTTATCAAGGCAGGTGATGGCTGGAAAAGATTAGGGCGGTCAAAGTCAGACCTGGTATGAGGATATGAAATCCCTGACCAGGAGACTTGCTCACATAGGCCGTATTAGGCTTCTTGGATGGGGACTCGGGATCACTGTAATCAATGGCTAATGATAAGAACTGTTACGGCTGAGTTTCGCACACCGTGCGCTAGTGCACCTACTCGTTTTCCTTGCAGTCTTAGTCCTCATGGATACTATATTTTCACTCTGACATTGTTATGAATATTCCCATCTTCCCTTTGTTCCTTCATCCAAAGGGGGGTAGCCATGAGGCAGCAAACAAAGCTGGCGCATGAAACTTCATGGTTGTAAGAAACGAACTGCACTGTACCAAAGGACACTAAACAATGTACACCATTAGTTTGGAGATGAGTAGCTGGAGGGTAATAGTTTTGAGTAGGGTAACTGGTAAGTAGAGCCTTCAATATCTTCAGGTTCGTTTATCTTGAGTGTGTTCACATAGCAATTTGTTTACTCTCCAGCTAGTGTTGGTTCATACGCTTCGAAATGCTGAAGCTGAGTAGTTTGAAGGCACGAATAGAAATGAAATATCAATTAATTTCACCACATCCGATGAAAACGCAAAGGCCGACATGTTCACAAGGGTGCATTTAAAACAGCAGCTGTCGAGTTATACCAGCTGAATAAGGTACCATCAATTGTATAATTATGATTTACATCAAATTCTAACGGCAGCTATAAACACCCTATGCCTTGATTTTGGGTTATTTGAGCACGTTACAGGTTTAATAGGCTCAAATCCATGTCAACTCTGTACTCCTAATTCACAAAAAAAATCAGTGTTTCAGTGAGCTGCGATACAAACCAAGCAGAGAGCAGAGAGTATCATCGAGGAACAGGCGTAAACTGTCCAAAATTAAAAAGAAGTGATTTCTCGGAAATAAGTTACGCTTGAACTTCTTCACTTTGAATTGTTGATTTCGTGAACATTCGGAAAGTGATAAGTACAGCTTACTCGTGTATAAGATCAATTTCATTAACGCCAATTCAGTTCGTACATAATTAGGTTTTAACTACAAGCGACGGGCCTGCTGCGACTTCCACCAGCTGCGAATGGCATCTGGTCGATCGATCCAATCGATCCGTGTTCTTGGCCGATTGAATCCTGCCAATTTGAATGGCCGAGCCAGATTGTATGGGGGCTGCAGAACCCATTCGCATTCGCATCCTATTCTCAGCTGACACACGTGTTGGTACAGGAGGAAGCTTGAGCTCGGGATAGCAGCGGAACACTGGGAGACCACATCCACACTGACCTGTTCGACGCTACGCACTTTTTCGGTCGGTGCCTCAATTTGCTTCTATTCCATTTTTTCTGTACCCCCTAGCAAGCAAAACGGAACTTAAACAGAGACAATCGGACACCGATGGAGTCTAAGCTCGGATCAAAGTGTATTCCATCGGATCGGATCTCGAAAAAAATCTGCTTTATCATGAACAATATAACGGAGACAAATCTGAAGCGTCAAGTGGACGAAGTAACTTCAATCGTACCGCATCATTTAACCCGGTGGTTGGCCGAGTCGTTGTTAAGACGTGTGGTTTCTGAACCGAACTTGCACGAGTTATATGCCGAATTTGTCACGCAGATTGCAGCGCACTATCCGAATTTTGAGACATTCACATTGGAATTACTCACCAAAGAGATTGACCGCATACTGAAATTGCCTGTGATCGATCCGTATCATGGGAAGACATTAAAACATTTGGGCGCATTTCTGGGTCGTTTGACCATTGCTCGTGACATTCCGTTGTGTGTGGATATCAAATCTTTAATTTTTACCGCGTTCAAAAACAAACCAGACTCGTTGGATTATATTATTCCTTTTATTTCGCAGATTTTGAAAAATACCAAGTACAGCTACTCCATAAAGCCATCGGATCCGTGGGTAAAAGAGATTCTACAGGTCGTGAAAGAACTGCATCATATCACAACTAAGTTACCGATCCAATTTGAAGTCGAACTGTTATTCGCCTCGCTTGACTGCAACATGAATGAGTTGAATTCGGCATACTATTTGCGGCATGCCAAATGACTGGTGTGTTTTCCCCTGACGGCCTTATCTTTGCTGCTACTTACAACACCACCACCATCATCAACAACAACAAAAGACAAACAGCGCGCTGTGATTACGGACACACTGTGCAAACTTGGAGACAAAAAACTCAAACGATATACATGTCCTTATCCTCTTCGCGATCGAACTTGGGATGGGTGTGCCAGATTATTGTGCTGACCAATTTTCGTTGCTGCAGTCATTAGTTTGGCACTGCGGTTTGTCTGGCTTTTGGTGTGAACCATTTGGTCGATCCACGAGGAACCGAGTGAAATTGGTCGAAAAGCTGGGAGAAGTATCAAGGTACGGATATAGAATATAGTTTAACTAGATGGATTAATAAGTGTCATTCTTTGACACACTCAGTCATATCACCATTTGTCCGTATTCATTGATTAGCCTCATAAATAGGTGCTAAACCAGAGAGTATAATAAAACCGAGTCCACGGGTCAATGTTGTCATGGATTCGTGGTAGGCTATAGTCATATTTGACTTTCTAACAACTAATCAGTCCCCCGGTGAACATTTAACGCCGAGCAAGTTCACCCGATGGTATGCGGAACACAACCATCGCATTCCATATTGATGTGCTTAAACAAGGGTGCACTAGCGATTATACGACTTTAGTAATGCTTGTCCGAATAGCCCATAAAACTCGTAAACGTGCTGTAGGTATCAGTGTTTCAACACAAATAATCTGCTATTTTTGACCGGTAATCATTGTCTGGAAATGATGTAGGAGTATTGGTTGAACTATGGCAGCACAAACTTGACCTGTTACCGACAGACAGGTGCGTTACGGTGGTGGCACGTTTCTGAAGCTGGACGAGNACCAATGTCCGTGCCAAGGTGCGCCTGCCAGCATCAGTGTAGTTGAATAATTCACCAATATTTGTTTTCCAAGCTGAACTGAGCTGAGTCAACCGAACGTAATTTGCTGTAAGAACACAGGTGTACAGTTATGTTCAACTTCCATACGCTGAAGTGAAACCCGGTGTAGAGTAGAGCTTCGTTAAAGGATTGCGCTGGCACGCACACTAAGCTTACAGACGGTGAAAAGTCAGCGCCCGTAGGAGATTGATCCCATTAATGTGTGCACGGTTTGGCACAGCTGGGACGGATTAGAAGTGGTCAGAAAGGTCTGGATAGTTTCATTACTTTTTGATTTTAGACTGTACTGACTAGCACAGGAACTATTGATGTCAAACAATTATCATTTGCAGATTAGGATAGAATGGAATCAAAGTTCGTGTGAATGTCGCCCACCCTCTGGTGTTGTGCGTGGCCTCATCTTCGATGAGTTCAATGGATGGAAATGTAACCCTATACAATAGGTCGCTACCATTGTTTTGAATAAACACCGCACGACATTGGGGGCGGGAAAATCGAGCGGTAGAAAAAATTGATTTAATATGCATCTAAAACCTCCAAACTGTGAAAGACTAATGTGGAAACCTACAGAACCAATAGGGCCTTTTGCTGGTATGAACAAAAGAGGTTTACGAGATCCTGACATACAGTGATTGGACTCGGACGCGCAAATCCTGAGATTTGTATCGAAATCAGGTTCACATAGCACATAACTCAGCCCGATTTTGGACTAAGTGGGATGACGTACACGAAACGATCGAATGGTGGCCGTTAATCGCAACGTATATCGACATGCTGCAATCGTGCTCACAGACATCTCGAAGACAGAAAGAACCAGTTAACGAACTCAACAACAAGAATGCAGGTACCAGTTACAAGGAGAATATCCGTTTCAGGATTATGAGGCGTGTGGATTCTTTTTCTGGAGTGGATCTGAGTTTCCCAGAAATGTAAGGAGACAGAACTAGCACAAATGGTTTTAATTCGGTTGCGTAAATAGACATGTATAAACAATCTGTGATCGGTATAAAAGTTCAGGATTTAGTTTCGGGGTCCCAGACGTCTAGATTTATTGATCACCACATTATGTGTGGGGATACTGGTCGGTCTTTTCAACAAAGAACGTCGAGTGGCATCTGGATGGAGGGCCTGAAATAAAAGATGAAACGAGTATAAATGGACGAATTTAATATCTTAAATATAACTCTCTGACTTATAAGCCAATAGTAAGTAAAAACGTGAATGCAGTAGTACATAGTTTATAAATAAATTATAGGATAAAACAGCTTGAATACTACTTCTTCTTTTTATATTACAGCTTAGTTGACTGAGTTCAGACTAGTAAGGAAGGGAATCTCACGGGCGGGTATATCGGTAACACTTCTGTATGGTTTTAGCCTAACAACTAAATTCTCATCTGACTGCAAGAAGCTATCCACCAGCAGATAGCGATAAAACCTATGATTCCTTCAGACAGATAGAATAAATCGCGCGGATGGCAGCTAAGACACGGGTTTCCACAAGAGATTAAGACTAGAGATGCACCCTCGAATAAAAGGACCAACTCGTATAGCATCCTCGTAGTTCCATGGGGATGTACGAGAGTCGGGGTGGCATCTTAAAGTATGTACGAATATAATGAAGTCGCACATGAAGCCGCTATGTTTACCGAGTTCGGCTATAGAAGGGCGATTGAATGACCGTTCACACCGAACTCGGCACCAACAATGAAAAGCTGTTGTTCGAGATATGTCTAGGAAGCTGACTAATTCTCTAGTGAGAGGCAGTCCTGAAAAAGTGGGTCAAACACAGTTTACTGGCAACTATGGAATTATAGGTAAATCTAAATTTGAAACGGCGCCCATTGGTTATCGACTGCAAAAATCAACTTGATTACTTACACGTCCCCACGCCGGTGTCTGAGCTTGCGTAGAAGCGGATGAAGGATGGGGTGCGAGGTTTTCTGAGTCAACCGGTTTGCCAAGATCAACAGGATTTTCCGATTTCAATACACTATGCAAATTATCGGAATCATCATCATCATTTGCCTCATCCACATCCACACCAGTATGCGGTGAGTGAGGAAGGATCGGTGAGGGTATGGGTTCCTGAGCTCCGTCATCAGTCTGCAAAACCTCGTCTTCTGCTGCCTCGCTATCGGAACTGACACTAAGCGACGCAGAACGTTCGAGTTGTGCTTGAACCGTAGCTTGATTGATCCGAAAATCACGAGAAACAGCGAGTTTGACATTGCCCATCAGATTAACCTGATAAAAAAACACGAAAGATTCATCACTCATATTGGATGTGGTTACTAAAGGAGAAAATGGACCTAAAGGATGTTATCTAAATGCAACCATGGAAAATCCGACGAAACATGAGATAATACTCATTAGAAAATAGTAGCGCGGGACAAACGGCCAAGAGTCGATTGACAATTTCGGAATGCAGGTTCTAGTACCCTAGATGAGATGAGTTACAATTGTAGTGAGCGATGAGCAATCACAAAGATTATTGGTCAGTTATGACAGCCAAGAATCTAAATCCCCAGATTCAGATTGGCAAAACAAAATGGGAACTCTATAGGAAGGTAGGTGTGCTGTTGACCAGGAAGACAGTGAGGCTGTCTACCGCCCAGGGTCTCACGGTCCAAAGTACACAGCAGTTGCCCTAACCATTCGAGTTCATATAGTTGAAGTAAAACGTGTTTTAATGATCGAGTGCTTCAAATCCCAAGATGTATGCAATCTTAAGCAGAAATCAATGCACAAACACCGATCGGTTGAACGCATTTACCATATGAAATAACCATGTGGGAACTAAAAGCTACGACTGGTTGGACCACTTGGCATTTAATAGGTTTCCGAAGATCGAACAGACTGCGGATGACGCAGAGTTTCTTATGTGAACAAACCCATATGCGCTACTTCGGCCAGTTATGCAACATACACAAAGCACAGAGTCAATCAATGATACGCAAGATACGAAATTTTGCGATCACAAGATGAATAAGGAAATAGATGTACCTTCGACGTTTTCGAGAGTTGTAATAGAAAACGTTCAAATTGCTCGATAGCAAAAATCAATTGGGGAATCGAGCGTGATTCTTTGATTGATCGGGATATCTGGAAGATGAAGTGAACATAAACACAGATATTTCAGAAAAGAACCATTGGAAATGATGATACATTTTCTACTTATTGTCTATCGATTGCGTTTCCTGATTTCCAACTGTTAGACGCAAAGCATTCCAGCAAGGGTGGATTCCGTAGAAGGATAAATTGACTCACAAACTTTCCATCTTAAATGTAGAACAGAGAGAAAACCACCACCACCACTGCACAGAGTTTCAAACGCTGTTATTGTGAGTTTCTAGCTGGGGACATTTCAACTCATTTACATAGAGTTAGAGATGAAAAGACTTCAACGAAATTCTTCCCTCCCGTTCGCAATAAATAGTTTTACCCCCTTGAGTTTACTTCTATCTGTTCTCATTGCGTGCAAACAGAATGCACTGGGATTTTCAACACAGCCATCAAGGATAAGCATTTACACGGGTCTAAAAACCAACTGCAGCACTTGATCATTGCTCACGCGAATACTGCACTCGACTTAAGCGATTGCATAAGGACAGAATTTATGAAACACAGGAAATCGACAGGGTCAACACGAAACACTTTTTGTATTTGCATGGGATAGCATGAAATAGCCAAGGCTTTCATGTTGATATTAACGTAATCGATTGTTTGAGACCAAATGAAGGAACAGATTAGAGGGATCAAATAAACGCTTGATGCAGTTCCCGTATTCTCATTTTCTTGTATCGCACTGGACAAAAAAGAAAGACACTAATCTGTCCAATACAACCACAAACCCATGTCTTCTTAAACGTCTGAGGGCTATACGGTAGATGTGTGGAAAAATAAGTCTGAGACGCGAAATCACAACCAACATTGCATAGGGATCGCTCTTTGGTTGGTGAAAACCGTAGTTTTGCCACGAAAGCTGGTTTAGCAACTGTCAGGCTAATTCATCGGATAATGCAACAATAAACAAGTTTAATATATCTATATATGCATACTACTGATTCGTAGAAACGTGATTGCAAATCAAAAATGGAATGATGAAGGATACCTGTGAGAATACCAAACCCCAATGCTCAAGCGTACGGTGGAAGAGCGGAAGCATATTTTCAACTCAAACTGATGTTACCATTGAAATTCTGTTCCTAGAAAAATATCTCAGCGGAATGAAGAATTTTTTTCTTGATTCCCAGGAGGCTTCATGGTGCAGAGAGCACAGTTGTTAGCCGCATTGTTTTACAGAGGGACCACCGGATGGTCTCTATCAGAACGCAAATACCAACTTATCAGCGACATTAACTGTGAAATCCGATAGTGTCTTAATTTACAAGATGAAAAAAAACTCAAACCGAACGGTGCCGAGTGTTTGTTTGTGTGAGCGAATAACACACGGTGGTATGCAACTGATTGGCTATCTCTCAAGTGAAATAGGACAAAACACAATTAAACATGTGTGACACAAAAATTTTCGACACAGAGTGAACAAAAATCATAGATATTATTTATTATTAAATCATGGTGCGATCAAGTTTCATAGAGTTAGAAGCAGCTGAAGCCGCGAAAGATAACAGTGATTTATTCATAAGGGACTGTTAAAAGTGTACCCGAAAAAACGCGTTACAGAGTGGAAAGTGTGAAACAAATGCACATTCGGAAGGAAAGGCAAGAAATTGAGTGAACAGATGACGGGTTACCGGATAGGCTGAGTTGATGAATGAAACTCATTACGAAATCAGCCGTGTGCTTCCAGAGAAATTTTGACCGATCAGTCGTATACACTTAGGCTTCTTGCATGGATACAAAACACCATTTGGTTAGCGAAGGTAACTTGCTTACCATGTGCTGTGAGACACCACAACCTGCGATTTTTTTCGACTGAGTACCCAAATCGTCTTTCTTTCCGCTTTTGTTAGTTTTCTTCAAAGATTGCTTCTCTTGCAACGCTTTCAACTTGTCCGATTCCGCATTCTGGATCATTTGACGAGNTTGGAAATAGCGAACGAGAATGCGTCTAAACAAATGACGTGTAAAACTGATGACGAGCGCCTAGTCCGATATCCTTTATAATAGTTATATGATTTTTACAACTGAGTTTTCAACCGATATGCAAGTTCATGTATGATCCAAAAGGTGTAAGGTCAGTAGGTAAGGACCATCATTCATTTACTGATAAGATTGGGCACACACAGTACGAGGGTGGTCAGTGCGCGGAAAGGATTCATGGATAGTGACAGATTCGTTAAATAGTCGAGAAGACAAGTGAACCTCAACATATAAACACCAGTCATATCCGTAAATAAGGGTGATTGACTATTCAGCCAGACTGATTGTCCAGTTGTCTGTTCAAGTGGTTTAAGCAAGTGAATAAGTTTCACACACACACACTCATACAGTGAGTGAAAACGATTCACAAAATACACAATGTTCACAAAACGATGCCCAAATAACCACATTGAGATAGGATTCAAAACCAGAACTAACCTGAATATATGTGATAAAAGAATAGGCAGTCGGAGAGACCGATTTGCCGAACACACGAACCACTCGTTCAAACACGACCGGAAAGCGTCCAAGCCGAGAACGTACCACACGTAAATACTGAAAACAAGACAAAATTCAGCGATTCGAAAACATCAGCGCATCGCGATCAATCGAACGAAACGCGATAATTTAAAAGTCATCGGGGAAAAGAGGCGACTAATAAGGGAACTACATGCGAGTAACTGCGTTTGTGCTTCTGGCCCAGAAAACCGTAATATTCCTACGGGAGTATTTCATTTTTTTGACCAACAATAGTGTAATATATGGAATAGGAATCGCATAGCGCGAGCTTGGATTCGGACTGAAAACCCACTGAATAGCGCAAAGTCAGGTAGAACCAAGACGAGCTGTGGAGACAGTTCTATTCAGAAAACCATGCAAGTATATATCACACGCATCCAACAATCATTTATCGATTCTTCAATGTTTATTCGATAACGACATGGTTCATTTGGTTGCGTTCTTGCATTCAGTGAATCCGGTCAGTGATACCTGAGATCACAGGATTGGTCGGTAAATTCGTTTCCGTGCGTACTTGTTGCACGATCACAACTAGCCACCCAACTCTCATTTGTGGCTTCAAGACATTTTTGTATGTGGCGACCGCCAAATTGTGGCAAACGCGTAACAAGTGGGCTAAACTAAGGGAAGGTGACCGGATTCCTTATAGCACGAAGAGTTCCAGTTTCATCCATGATTTCGAGAAACGTTCCAGTAAAGTGGGCGGAAAACATCATCTTGTTGAGTCAGGCACCTGGGATGGCGTATCGTCTTCAAGTTTGACTATGTAAAAAAAACCTACAGCCTTGAAAGTCACAATTAGTCGGCTGAAAATTATATACGCACATTCAATAAAAGCCGAGCGATGTTGGAGAAGTTACTGTTACGTAATTCGCGCGATACTAATTGAAACGATCATGAGGCCAAAGTTGAAGTAACCAAATAAACATACTGGATAGGGACCGAGGTTCATTTGGAATAAAATTTGAAAATAAAAACAATTGAGTA